CTGCTTAACCGCGATAAAAAGTAGATAAAGCATATTGAGTTATTATCCGAAAAAAATTTCCTAATTTTTTTTCCTGGTCTGGTCACATCCCTGTGTTGTATGTCACAGTTTGTTGTATGTCACATTTTGGTGTATGTCACAGTTTGGTGTATGTCACAGTTTGGTGTATGTCACAGTTTGTTGTATGTCACAGTTTGGTGTAATACACAGTTTGTTGTATGTCACAGTTTGGTGTATGTCACAGTTTGGTGTATGTCACAGTTTGGTGTATGTCACAGTTTGTTGTATGTCACAGTTTGGTGTAATACACAGTTTGTTGTATGTCACAGTTTGGTGTATGTCACAGTTTGGTGTAATACACAGTTTGTTGTATGTCACAGTTTGGTGTATGTCACAGTTTGGTGTATGTCACAATTTGGTGTATGTCACAGTTTGGTGTATGTCACAGTTTGGTGTATGTCACAGTTTGGTGTATGTCACAGTTTGGTGTATGTCACAGTTTGTTGTATGTCACAATTTGGTGTATGTCACAGTTTGGTGTATGTCACAGTTTGGTGTATGTCACAGTTTGTTGTATGTCACAGTTTGTTGTATGTCACAGTTTGGTGTATGTCACAGTTTGGTGTATGTCACAATTTGGTGTATGTCACAATTTGGTGTATGTCACAGTTTGGTGCATGTCACAGTTTGGTGCATGTCACAGTTTGGTGCATGTCACAATTTGGTGTATGTCACAGTTTGGTGTATGTCACAGTTTGGTGTATGTCACAGTTTGGTGTATGTCACAGTTTGGTGTATGTCACAGTTTGGTGTATGTCACAGTTTGGTGTATGTCACAGTTTGGTGTATGTCACAGTTTGGTGTATGTCACAATTTGGTGTATGTCACAGTTTGGTGTATGTCACAGTTTGGTGTATGTCACAGTTTGGTGTATGTCACAGTTTGGTGTATGTCACAGTTTGGTGTATGTCACAGTTTGGTGTATGTCACAGTTTGGTGTATGTCACAGTTTGGTGTATGTCACAGTTTGGTGTATGTCACAGTTTGGTGTATGTCACAGTTTGGTGTATGTCACAGTTTGGTGTATGTCACAGTTTGGTGTATGTCACAGTTTGGTGTATGTCACAGTTTGGTGTATGTCACAGTTTGGTGTATGTCACAGTTTGGTGTATGTCACAGTTTGGTGTATGTCACAGTTTGGTGTATGTCACAGTTTGGTGTATGTCACAGTTTGGTGTATGTCACAATTTGGTGTATGTCACAGTTTGGTGTAATACACAGTTTGGTGTATGTCACAGTTTGGTGTATGTCACAGTTTGTTGTATGTCACAGTTTGGTGTAATACACAGTTTGTTGTATGTCACAGTTTGGTGTATGTCACAGTTTGGTGTATGTCACAGTTTGGTGTATGTCACAGTTTGGTGTATGTCACAGTTTGGTGTATGTCACAGTTTGGTGTATGTCACAGTTTGGTGTATGTCACAGTTTGTTGTATGTCACAGTTTGGTGTATGTCACAGTTTGGTGTATGTCACAGTTTGGTGTATGTCACAGTTTGGTGTATGTCACAGTTTGTTGTATGTCACAGTTTGTTGTATGTCACAGTTTGGTGTATGTCACAGTTTGGTGTATGTCACAATTTGGTGTATGTCACAATTTGGTGCATGTCACAGTTTGGTGCATGTCACAGTTTGGTGCATGTCACAGTTTGGTGCATGTCACAATTTGGTGCATGTCACAGTTTGGTGTATGTCACAGTTTGGTGTATGTCACAGTTTGGTGTATGTCACAGTTTGGTGTATGTCACAGTTTGGTGTATGTCACAATTTGGTGTATGTCACAATTTGGTGTATGTCACAGTTTGGTGTATGTCACAGTTTGGTGTATGTCACAGTTTGGTGTATGTCACAGTTTGGTGTATGTCACAGTTTGGTGTATGTCACAGTTTGGTGTATGTCACAGTTTGGTGTATGTCACAGTTTGGTGTATGTCACAGTTTGGTGTATGTCACAGTTTGGTGTATGTCACAGTTTGGTGTATGTCACAGTTTGGTGTATGTCACAGTTTGGTGTATGTCACAGTTTGGTGTATGTCACAGTTTGGTGTATGTCACAGTTTGGTGTATGTCACAATTTGGTGTATGTCACAGTTTGGTGTAATACACAGTTTGGTGTATGTCACAGTTTGGTGTATGTCACAGTTTGGTGTATGTCACAGTTTGGTGTATGTCACAGTTTGGTGTATGTCACAGTTTGTTGTATGTCACAGTTTGGTGTAATACACAGTTTGTTGTATGTCACAGTTTGGTGTATGTCACAGTTTGGTGTATGTCACAGTTTGGTGTATGTCACAGTTTGGTGTATGTCACAGTTTGGTGTATGTCACAGTTTGGTGTATGTCACAGTTTGGTGTATGTCACAGTTTGGTGTATGTCACAGTTTGGTGTATGTCACAGTTTGGTGTATGTCACAGTTTGGTGTATGTCACAGTTTGGTGTATGTCACAATTTGGTGTATGTCACAATTTGGTGTATGTCACAGTTTGGTGTATGTCACAGTTTGGTGTATGTCACAGTTTGGTGTATGTCACAGTTTGGTGTATGTCACAGTTTGGTGTATGTCACAGTTTGTTGTATGTCACAGTTTGGTGTATGTCACAGTTTGGTGTATGTCACAGTTTGGTGTATGTCACTATTTGGTGTATGTCACAGTTTGGTGTATGTCACAGTTTGGTGCATGTCACAGTTTGGTGCATGTCACAGTTTGGTGCATGTCACAATTTGGTGCATGTCAGTTTGGTGTATGTCACAGTTTGTTGTATGTCACAGTTTGGTGTAATACACAGTTTGGTGTATGTCACAGTTTGTTGTATGTCACAGTTTGGTGTATGTCACAGTTTGGTGTATGTCACAGTTTGGTGTAATACACAGTTTGGTGTATGTCACAGTTTGGTGTATGTCACAGTTTGGTGTATGTCACAGTTTGGTGTATGTCACAGTTTGTTGTATGTCACAGTTTGGTGTAATACACAGTTTGGTGTATGTCACAGTTTGTTGTATGTCACAGTTTGGTGTATGTCACAGTTTGGTGTAATACACAGTTTGTTGTATGTCACAGTTTGTTGTATGTCACAGTTTGTTGTATGTCACAGTTTGTTGTATGTCACAGTTTGGTGTATGTCACAGTTTGTTGTATGTCACAGTTTGGTGTATGTCACAGTTTGTTGTATGTCACAGTTTGTTGTATGTCACATTTTGGTGTATGTCACAGTTTGGTGTATGTCACAGTTTGGTGTATGTCACAGTTTGTTGTATGTCACAGTTTGGTGTAATACACAGTTTGTTGTATGTCACAGTTTGGTGTATGTCACAGTTTGGTGTATGTCACAGTTTGGTGTATGTCACAGTTTGTTGTATGTCACAGTTTGGTGTAATACACAGTTTGTTGTATGTCACAGTTTGGTGTATGTCACAGTTTGGTGTATGTCACAGTTTGGTGTATGTCACAGTTTGGTGTATGTCACAGTTTGGTGTATGTCACAGTTTGTTGTATGTCACAGTTTGTTGTATGTCACAGTTTGGTGTATGTCACAATTTGGTGTATGTCACAATTTGGTGTATGTCACAGTTTGGTGTATGTCACAGTTTGGTGTATGTCACAGTTTGGTGTATGTCACAATTTGGTGTATGTCACAGTTTGGTGTATGTCACAGTTTGGTGTATGTCACAGTTTGTTGTATGTCACAGTTTGGTGTATGTCACAGTTTGGTGTATGTCACAATTTGGTGTATGTCACAATTTGGTGTATGTCACAGTTTGGTGCATGTCACAGTTTGGTGCATGTCACAGTTTGGTGCATGTCACAATTTGGTGCATGTCACAGTTTGGTGTATGTCACAGTTTGTTGTATGTCACAGTTTGGTGTAATACACAGTTTGGTGTATGTCACAGTTTGTTGTATGTCACAATTTGGTGTATGTCACAGTTTGGTGTATGTCACAGTTTGGTGTAATACACAGTTTGGTGTATGTCACAGTTTGGTGTATGTCACAGTTTGGTGTATGTCACAGTTTGTTGTATGTCACAGTTTGTTGTATGTCACAGTTTGGTGTAATACACAGTTTGGTGTATGTCACAGTTTGTTGTATGTCACAGTTTGGTGTATGTCACAGTTTGGTGTAATACACAGTTTGTTGTATGTCACAGTTTGTTGTATGTCACAGTTTGTTGTATGTCACAGTTTGTTGTATGTCACAGTTTGGTGTATGTCACAGTTTGTTGTATGTCACAGTTTGGTGTATGTCACAGTTTGTTGTATGTCACAGTTTGGTGTAATACACAGTTTGTTGTATGTCACATTTTGGTGTATGTCACAGTTTGGTGTATGTCACAGTTTGGTGTATGTCACAGTTTGTTGTATGTCACAGTTTGGTGTAATACACAGTTTGTTGTATGTCACAGTTTGGTGTATGTCACAGTTTGGTGTATGTCACAGTTTGGTGTATGTCACAGTTTGGTGTATGTCACAGTTTGGTGTATGTCACAGTTTGTTGTATGTCACAGTTTGTTGTATGTCACAGTTTGGTGTATGTCACAGTTTGGTGTATGTCACAGTTTGGTGTATGTCACAATTTGGTGTATGTCACAGTTTGGTGTATGTCACAGTTTGGTGTATGTCACAGTTTGGTGTGTGTCACAATTTGGTGTATGTCACAGTTTGGTGTATGTCACAGTTTGGTGTATGTCACAGTTTGGTGTCACATTTTTATGTCAGTTTTTTTTTTGTCAAAGTTTGTGTCACAGTTAATGTCATGTTTATCTTGTCTATTAGTCATAGTTACCATGTTGTAGACCATAACTCATATTCACCATGTTGTAGGTTGTAAGTCAATGTAAGTGAATGTAAACATGGACAGCTGTCTATTTAACTTGTAATGACTCGCACCAATGTTTCCACTCTAATATTTTATTTGTAATGACTTGCACCAATGTTTCCACTCCAGGAACTGTCCAAATGTGAGGCCAATCACTTCCTCATCTTGTTCCGAGATGCTGGCTGCCAGTACAGAGGCTTGTTTATATTTTACCCTGAGACAGAGGAAGCTTTTAAAGTCCACGGTGTTGGTCCCAAACACATCACCAATAAAATGTGTGAGAAGTTCTACAAGTAAGTTCATGTCAATCTTGCTGACTGAATAGTTGACCAGAGGAGACTGATTGTACTGTACTATAGTTGACTAGTGTACTAGAAGATACTAGTGTACTAACTTAACCCTACTACAGTTGACTAGAGGATACTGACTCAACAGTACTACAGTTGACTAGTGTACTAGAAGATACTAGTGTACTACAGTTGACTAGAGGATACTGACTCAACAGTACTACAGTTGACTAGTGTATTAACAGTACTACTCTTGACCAATTGATACTGATTGAACTAAACCTCTACTAAACCCCTATGATCATGGCTTAAGACAAAGTTACATAGTTGCCTTAGACTGATCATCAGCAAAGCTTTAAAGTAAGTATATTGATAGGTTCCCTTTGACACTGACCAACACAACAGTTGACCACATACTCAGCCACTAAGTCTGTGTTCTTCCCCCTCCCCAGGTACAACTCTGGCGGCAAAAATTTTGCCGAGATCACATCCACCAAACATTTATCTGTATCCGTTGACGCCGTCGTCCTGCAAGGGACAGTGTGGAAGACGGGGAAGGCGGTGGTCAAGCGATAGAACCCACCCATCCTGCTTTAGATAGCCACTGTGTATAAATTATTTAGCAAGGACTGCTTGATGTGCTGCATCAGATGAGAGACTGTGCTGGTATACATATCTTTAGCGTGCTCTCTGCGGAGTATATTCACTGTAACTTGCTTCACGGCCAGGGGCACAGGTGTACTATTTGGATGCCTTTTACCTGCCTTTGTCCGCGGATGATCATAGTCTTTCATCATTTTTAAAAAAAATTCTCTGTATCACTCTACACAAGCTCGCTAATTGTCATTTTACTGTTTTTTAAATGTTCCCTCTGCTGGACTTTAAAAGTTAGCCGAGGTTAAAAGCAAAGACTGAATTACTCTTGTAAGCTTATCTGTTCAATCAAGCAGCCATTGAATTAGCTAATGCCAGTTCCATTTGTAATGTTGCTTTCTTTACTTAAATTGCACTGCAAGGCAAAGATTTAGTGATGGAGAAAGTGAATCCCAGAGCGTATAGTTTATCTCCCTTTAACTAAGATTTACTTGATCATCTCCCTTACACTATTTGTAAAATCTAAGAATAGTTTGATGTACTGCTCAAAACCTGCTCCATCCAAATCTGAATTGACACATTAATGTTAGCCAAACGTGACAGCTTTAATGTTATAACAAACTTTCTTTTAAACTTCTGGTATTGTCTATAGATGTCTTCACTTTTTCCATTCCACCAACTTATTCTGTCAAAGCTTGTTGATCAACTGCAAACTCTCAAAGAGCTCATCAAGTTAAACTTTGGAGTAGATTTTTTTTTGTTGAATTCTCAACTCATTCAGGATTTCTGATTCTGTGAAGCAGAAATTGTACCCAACTTGAAGTTCAGCTTTCATCTTTTAGAGAACATCAACTTCTCGCAAATTAAGCCTTGCTGAATATGCAATTAACATTTTTTTTTTCTTGAACTGCTGATCAGAAAGGTCACCATTAATCAAGTTTTAGAAATGAAGATCACTGATTCTAACCACCTGTAATATGATGGTGCAAGTTGTTTTTATTTCTCTCCATGAGACCAAGAATAGTTGTGAGATTTTATTTATTTACTGGCTTGGTGTGTCTGTTGGTAGACAAGTACACAATAACCAAAGCAAACCAATCTTTCAGTTCTTTATTTTTTTTTTAATTTTTAGTTGGGAAGGCTGGTGTGTAAAACATGATTGCAACATAACATTATCAAACAAATATCATATTAATCCATAATATCAATATGTAAAACATACAGATACAGCTTACATAATTACTGTAATTATTTATTAGTGGTTAGTGGCATTCTATGTATATTTGCATACATGTTAATCTCTGTGTGTCATTCTTTAAATATATTATTATTGCTGGTCTCTTGTGTTAGTTTCTTGGGAGAAAAGGTTTGGATAATCTGTTTGAACATATAGGGTAGTCCACACACACACACAGATGTTTTAATCACAATATAATAGGTGTAAACACATGATACAAAAGAAAAATTATTGTTAGTAAAATGCCAGTTAAAATAATAACCAAAATAACCCACACACTGTAAGTGTAAGATTTGTTTAACATGTTAGTTCTTAAAAAGGTCAGCTCAAAATAGGGTAATAATTCACAAAAATAGAGACATTTTGAACTTTAATTATCAGAGGAGTACTAATATTCAGAAAGCTCTGGAATGTAAGAAATTTAAAAAAAATGATTACAGTAATTAAAATTTATTTTGTTTAAAATAGGAGGGTTACCCAATAAGATACAATAAAAATGGATTTCAGTGAAAACACTCCAGTAAACTGTGGATAAAGAACTAAAGTAGATCTCAAGACTTCCAGTAAAAGGAAAAATATAACTTTCCCAATTATATAAATTTTAAAAGGATTATTTATAGATTTTTTCTTTTTAAAAAGCTAGACTTGTAAATATATTAACCCAATCAAAACATTTGGCTAGTGTCAGTAGAAGAGTCTAGTGTCAGCAGTGTTTGGGCTTTTGTTGAGTGAGTGAGATCCAATCCTCCATGTTATGTACACCTAGACTCTTACACAGGCCTGGGTCATGTGACCTGCCACTCAGGGCTTCACATAATCTCTGTTTCCTGCATTCTTTGTCACACGCGCCTGAGTACCTCGACTTGAAATAGTACCTGCTCAGGTGAAATTTTTTTGTTAAATTTACAACTAAGTTATATATATAAATATATTTATATATACACATATGCATATATACATAAATAAATATATACATTTGTAAATATATATATATGTGCCTACACATGTACAAATTACCCATACAATATATATACACAAACATCATTAACTCAACCCTCCTACCCCCCCCCCCCCCCCCCCCCCCCAAAAAAAACCCCCACCAGTATGTGCAATGAAATGTGAACCTACTTGTTGTACAAGTTTAACAACTTGCTGTCTGTCTGCATGTCTTGGATCAACTTGTCCCAGTCAGCTGGGTAGAGACTTGTCATGTTGTAGGCCAGCTGAGGAATACAAACAAAACAATTCATTCAAAATCTGAATTGAAAACAAGGAAACAATATCTACAAAAAAATTCATTCAAAATTCTAATATTGGAAACAATATCTACAAAACAGTACATTCAAAATTCTAATTGAAAAAAGGAAACAATATCTACAAAACAATACATTCAAAACTCTACTTGGAAACAATATCTACAAAACAATGCATTCAAAATTCTAATCGTAAACAAGGAAACAATATCTACAAAACAGTTAATGACATTGGAAAAATGTAAAATAGTTCAACAAGTTTTGAATTTGCTCAGTGATTGTTGATGTGAGTTGGCCAGATTTAATGAACAACATTCAGAAAATAGCATACAGAATTGCAGTTTCTATTTTTCTCAATACCAATGCTGATTTATTTAATTAACCTAAATTTACAACACATTTTAATATTTGCTTCAAGTTCAAGTGTCTTATAATCTACAGTGGCTAACAAAAAAATTTGCAAACTCCCAGATTAACCAGCCATGACACAAACTGTTCTTAATACTACATAATCTCATATATATGGTTACAGCTATAGTTGCTACCAAATTTTAAAAAGATGAACACAAATATCTTTTTAAGAAATGTAAAAAAACAAGTGTTTTCAGTTGTGGAACTGACCTTGGCAGAATATTCCAGCTCCCATGTAATTTGACCTTCGACCTGTGCTCTGGTCAGGTTGAGATAGTGGGTCTGGTGGTCCAAGACTTGCTGAAGAACAACATGGTAGAGGTTAGATGTCTTGTAAACATATGGTCATTTAATGGTAGCCAAAGTCTCACACTCATAACTATATATTAAATAACACTCGTACTCATATACAACACTCAGTTCATTTTATGTCAGTCGTCATACCATATGCATAGAATATAAGGGTCTAGGACATTACCCCACAGTCAATCCCCCCTCCCCAACCCAGTCAAGAACCCTAATCCTATAGCTAACAATAACCCCAACTAAACCTATATCTAACCTAAAGCCAAACCTTGACCTTACCCTAACCTAATGTAATGGTAATGTTCTACTGGGGCGGGGGGTAATTCACAGGGGTAATTCATAATGGTGTAATAATATTTACCTCGGGGGATGGGGGTAATAACACTCATTATTAATTACCTTGTCCTACATTTAATGTTAGTCATAATTTCATACTCCTATATTACACTCAATTCAACAAATTAAATGTTCTAGTTTTCATAAAACAGCCTTTCATTTTCTCAAATCATTAAAACAACAAACAGTAAGAAAATTTGAAATAACAATGCTATGGAGGAGAAAAAAACCACTGATACACCTAAAACCACCTAAATTCACAGGGGAATCTTCAGTTCTCTACTAAATCCAAACTTTTAGCCACATTTATTTATATATATATATATATATATATATATATATATATATATATATATATAAATAAATGTGGCTAAAAGTTTGGATTTTTTTGATATATATATATATATATGTGTGTGTAAAACCAGCCCCTTACAAAAGAACTGTTCTGATAGTCCCCATCTATGGTGTAGATCCTGTAGCCCATGTTGAGATCAGAGTACGGCGTCACGCTGGGCGCCACGTACGCCACACCAACCGGAACTTTCAACGTCTCAACGTCGTAATATACAGTAAAGCTGTCAAAATGTGTGTGTCCAAAAAATTGGCCAGCTATTGTGTTTCTGTACCTGGAGAAGAGATTCAGGTAGAAATATCTCAGTCACACTGCATTAGAGTTAAGAGTGGTTCATTGTTTACATTACATTGAAATAATAGCTTTTAAGTAGTAGTGACACTATTTAAATTAAAGCCTGTTTGTGGCTATAGTTACATAATTCAAATGACTTGGTATTTTTATAATTATCATTCATAATCTGTAAAAATAAGCCCACAACCAGCAGTTTTATGAGGGTATAATTTATCAAACTTTGGGAAACCTAATGAGAAAAATTATTTCACAAATAATTGTTGAAAAGAATTAATGTATATATCATTAAGTAAGGGTTAAGAATATAATTTATAGTGGGTAAAATTTTCAAAAATGACAATCCATCACAATACTTGCTACAATCCTTTAAAACCTACCTGGGACAATCCATCACAACGTACCTGCTACAAACCTACCTGTGACAATCCATCACAACCTACCTGCTACAATCCACCAAAACCTACCTGCTATAATCCACCAAAACCTACCTGCTACAATCCACCAAAACCTACCTGCTACAATCCACCAAAACCTACCTGCTACAATCCACCAAAACCTACCTGCTACAATCCACCAAAACCTACCTGCTACAATCCACCAAAACCTACCTGCTACAATCCACCAAAACCTACCTGCTACAATCCACCAAAACCTACCTGCTACAATCCACCAAAACCTACCTGCTACAAACCTACCAGCTACAAACCTACCAGCTACCAACCTACCAGCTACAAACCTACCAGCTACAAACCTACCAGCTACAAACCTACCAGCTACAAACCTACCAGCTACCAACCTACCAGCAACCAACCTACCAGCTACCAACCTACCAGCTACCAACCTACCAGCTACCAACCTACCAGCTACCAACCTACCAGCTACCAACCTACCAGCTACCAACCTACCAGCTACCAACCTACCAGCTACCAACCTACCAGCTACCAACCTACCAGCTACAAACCTACCAGCTACCAACCTACCAGCAACCAACCTACCAGCTACCAACCTACCAGCTACCAACCTACCAGCAACCAACCTACCAGCTACCAACCTACCAGCTACCAACCTACCAGCAACCAACCTACCAGCAACCAACCTACCAGCTACCAACCTACCAGCAACCAACCTACCAGCTACCAACCTACCAGCAACCAACCTACCAGCTACCAACCTACCAGCTACAAACCTACCAGCTACCAACCTACCAGCTACAAACCTACCAGCTACCAACCTACCTGCTGACAATCCTATAATAGTTCCAGCTCCAGGGTTTCAGACAGTCATCATTGCCAGGTGGGATGTGACCCAGGATGTGAACTTTGACCCCCTCATCCTCGGCTGTCTGCAGGGTGTCAACTAGCCACTGCAGTTCACCTGCAGGGTCAGTGGCATTCAGCAGCATCCACCTGTACAACATATGGTATGATACAACATATAGCACAACATAAGCTACCTCCTGTACAGCACACAGTATGATACAGCTTATGAGTAATAAGAAAATGTAGAGTAAGACTTCAAAGAAGACACCAAGAAGATTGGATACACCTGGGGACATTTGGAGAGACTAGCCAAAGACAGCCCGGAGAGCTCTTGTCAGCGGCCTATGTCCCAGGATGGGCCACAGGCTAACCTAGCCTAATGATACAACTATTTGATGTTATATTCTTAACCAGATTTTATTGCCCAATGTGGATGCAAGTAACATTTATGTTTTTTGTGTATGAATGTCCAGTAATAACATTGGAATAAATTGTTACAATATGAATTCTCAACTAACCAGTTTTGATTGTTGCAATAGTTCATATTAAGAGAGATAACTTTAAGGCCAGGATAAGGTGTAACAGTGTAGTAGGCTCCCCTGGATAATAAAAACAAAAAAAAACAATAATATTAACAAAATTGTACTATACTACTTACATTTTACTTACAATACTAAGTCATATTTGGAATGGGTAAATAAACATTTATAAAATGGATGTTTCCCATTTGGACTTAAAAAAATAATTAACATCTATATTAAAGCAAGAAAACTGGATGAGAGACCAACCTTCTAACAGATTCTAAGGCACTTTCTGGTAGCCATTGTTTCCAAGAGTCAGCCAGAGCTTCATACAGCCAGCTGATAGAGTTGTCCCCTTGTATGTAGGGTGGTGGGAAACTGACAGAATACAAGGTACACTCATTTTAATTGTAAGACACTTAATTCTGGGCCAGCAATAAAACTTTTATTAACCAGCATTTAAATTACAACAATTTTGATTAAATGAGTAATTAAAAAAAAATGTAATCACACACCCCCCCCCCCCCCCACCCCTGAGGTGGACCGACCCTTCCCGGCGCCCGGGGACAAACTTTCAATTCCCCCCCCCCCCCCCCCCTCAGGAGCAGATTTTCAATTTGCACCCCCCCCCCCCGCCCACTCAAACTATTTATAATGCAAAAATGACATTTTAATTTGTTTTTACAACCCATTTTGGCGCCCCCTAAGGTCGGCACCCGGGGACATATGTACCACCCTGCCCCCCCATCGCTACGCCTCTGCCCCCCCCCCTCCCTTCCCTCCCTTGCCTACGAACTATTATGCAGGTCAACCTTACATAAGAAATAAGAAAAAAACAAAACCTATTGACATAAGAGCTCAGGTCAACCTTACATAAGAAATAAGAAAAAAACAAAACCTATTGACAGGAGACCTAGGTCAACCTTACATAAGAAATAAGAAAAAAACTAAACCTATTGACAGGAGAGTTCAGGTCAACCTTACATAAGAAATAAGAAAAAAACAAAACCTATTGACAGGAGACCTAGGTCAACCTTACATAAGAAATAAGAAAAAAACAAAACCTATTGACATAAGAGCTCAGGTCAACCTTACATAAGAAATAAGAAAAAAACTAAACCTATTGACAGGAGAGTTCAGGTCAACCTTACATAAGAAATAAGAAAAAAAACAAAACCTATTGACAGGAGACCTAGGTCAACCTTACATAAGAAATAAGAAAAAAACAAAACCTATTGACATAAGAGCTCAGGTCAACCTTACATAAGAAATAAGAAAAAAACTAAACCTATTGACAGGAGAGTTCAGGTCAACCTTACATAAGAAATAAGAAAAAAACAAAACCTATTGACAGGAGACCTAGGTCAACCTTACATAAGAAATAAGAAAAAAACAAAACCTATTGACATAAGAGCTCAGGTCAACCTTACATAAGAAATAAGAAAAAAACTAAACCTATTGACAGGAGAGTTCAGGTCAACCTTACATAAGAAATAAGAAAAAAACTAAACCTATTGACAGGAGACCTAGGTCAACCTTACATAAGAAATAAGAAAAAAACTAAACCTATTGACAGGAGAGTTCAGGTCAACCTTACATAAGAAATAAGAAAAAAACAAAACCTATTGACAGGAGAACTCAGGTCAACCTTACATAAGAAATAAGAAAAAAACAAAACCTATTGACAGGAGAGCTCAGGTCAACCTTACATAAGAAATAAGAAAAAAACAAAACCTATTGACAGGAGAGCACAGGTCAACCTTACATAAGAAATAAGAAAAAAAACTAAACCTATTGACAGGAGAGCACAGGTCAACCTTACATAAGAAATAAGAAAAAAACTAAACCTATTGACAGGAGAGCTCAGGTCAACCTTACATAAGAAATAAGAAAAAAACAAAACCTATTGACAGGAGAGCTCAGGTCAACCTTACATAAGAAATAAGAAAAAAACAAAACCTATTGACAGGAGAGCACAGGTCAACCTTACATAAGAAATAAGAAAAAAACAAAACCTATTGACAGGAGAGCACAGGTCAACCTTACATAAGAAATAAGAAAAAAACTAAACCTATTGACAGGAGAGCACAGGTCAACCTTACATAAGAAATAAGAAAAAAACAAAACCTATTGACAGGAGAGCTCAGGTCAACCTTACATAAGAAATAAGAAAAAAACAAAACCTATTGACAGGAGAGCTCAGGTCAACCTTACATAAGAAATAAGAAAAAAACAAAACCTATTGACAGGAGAGCACAGGTCAACCTTACATAAGAAATAAGAAAAAAACTAAACCTATTGACAGGAGAGCTCAGGTCAACCTTACATAAGAAATAAGAAAAAAACTAAACCTATTGACAGGAGAGCTCAGGTCAACCTTACATAAGAAATAAGAAAAAAACAAAACCTATTGACAGGAGAGCACAGGTCAACCTTACATAAGAAATAAGAAAAAAACTAAACCTATTGACAGGAGAGCTCAGGTCAACCTTACATAAGAAATAAGAAAAAAACAAAACCTATTGACAGGAGAGCACAGGTCAACCTTACATAAGAAATAAGAAAAAAACTAAACCTATTGACAGGAGAGCTCAGGTCAACCTTACATAAGAAATAAGAAAAAAACTAAACCTATTGACAGGAGAGCTCAGGTCAACCTTACATAAGAAATAAGAAAAAAACAAAACCTATTGACAGGAGAGCTCAGGTCAACCTTACATAAGAAATAAGAAAAAAACAAAACCTATTGACAGGAGAACTCTCATGGTTGCCCAGACTTGCCAGCACAAGTGTGCCAGGAAAATATTGCTGGATCAGTTTGACCAGGGCCTTCAGCAGCTCCACCTGGTCGGAGCGGGACTGGTTCCAGACATTGTGGGCAGGGAGGTCACCTGTCCAGATGATGTAATCAAACTGAAAGGTGGCAAAATGTTAAAGTTGGCAAAATGGTAAAGTTGGAAAATGTTAAAGTTGACAAAATGTTAAATTAAAGTTGGCAAAATGTTAAATTAAAGTTGGCAAAATGTTAAAGTTGACAAAATGTTGAAGTTGACGAAATGTTGAAGTTGACAATATGTAAATTTAAACCTATTTTAAATCTGCAAGCAAACATTTTGTATATGGTTAATCATTAATTTATGTATAGCTTTTAAAGGCATTTTAACGACTTTTTTCATAATAAACAAAGCTAAAGTGTGACTTGTTGGATAAAGATGTCTTAGGTGGATTAGGAACATAACTATGGATAAAGATGTTTTAATGTGATGAGAATGATCTGATGTTAGCTTAACCAAGAAGTACAAATAAAAACCAAGATCCTAATTTTCTATACTAGAAAAGTATTTTCTACACAACTCATCTTTACTAATTCCCTTTTTAAAATAAAAAAAAACAACAGGAAAACTTAGGAAAATAAAATAACCTACTCAAGTGATTAATGTTTATTTGATTGGATAAGACCACAAGATGTTTTATCCCTATCAACTCTGTATCCTACCATCTCCCACCCTGGTGTCTAAAAATGACCTATTGTATTTTTATGGCTTTACATTTTATTACCACAAATTTCAAAGAAAAAAATCACAATGATATTATTGTTGTAGATAAAAAAATGTGATTGATGTATTCAGATGTGATTTAATGATGTAAGCTCAAGTGAGTTGGACATTAACACAGGAAGATGGACAGCTGGGGACCAAAGGACAAAATCATCAAATCTTATTAAGTGCTGGGGTGTGGGTGAGATAGCTGAGATGGGGGGTGGGGGGGGGGGGAGGACTGTTTCATACAGCTTCACTCAAAAACACAGCCCACACACAGCCCACACACTGCCCACACACAACCCACAAGTAGATGATTATTACTATCCTGGCGTAAAGTAGAAAACAAACACATGGCTCCCTCTGATTCCCGCCCACACAATATATATAACTGGAGTAAGAAATCAACCGAAGAGCACCCCACCCCTCCATGACATACCCAACACTCACACAGGAGATACTTGAGCTGGTATGGAAAATAACAACACAGATCTACCCCCCCCCCACATACACAAACACCCACACACATACAAGAAGAGATACCTTCTCTTGAGATAATGTAGAAAACAGCCACTACACCCCCCCCCCACAACATGAGAGCCTACCTTATCCTGAGATAGGGTAGAAAACAGTCCCCACACACCCTCCCCACACCACCATCCACACACCCTCCCCCCACCACCACCCACACACCCTCCCCCCCACCACCACCCACACACCCTCCCCCACCACCACCCACACACCCTCCCCCCACCACCACCCACACACCCTCCCCCCACCACCACCCACACACCCTCCCCACACCACCATCCACACACCCTCCCCCCACCACCACCCACACACCCTCCCCCCACCACCACCCACACACCCTCCCCCCACCACCACCCACACACCCTCCCCCCACCACCACCCACACACCCTCCCCACACCACCATCCACACACCCTCCCCCCACCACCACCCACACACCCTCCCCCCACCACCACCCACACACCCTCCCCACACCACCATCCACACACCCTCCCCCCACCACCACCCACACACCCTCCCCCCACCACCACCCATACACCCTCCCCCACCACCACCCAAACACCCTCCCCACACCACCACCCACACACCCTCCCCCCACCACCACCCATACACCCTCCCCCCACCACCACCCAAACACCCTCCCCACACCACCACCCACACAACAAGATAGCCTACCTTATCCTGAGCTAGGGTAGAAAACATATCTTCCAATGTCCAGAGGGGAGTATCACATTTTCTATAGTCACCAAACTTCCAGGCTCCCGCTCCTGGCTTCCCTGAAATCATTGATGCTATATCTGAGCTTACCATCCAATTTCATTGCACACTGTTCACACCAGTGAAGGCCTAAAAACTATACACAATTAAAGACTAACATTTTGGAGTTATAGCTCCCCTTGGAGTTTACCTCCCTTTATTGTTTACCTCCCCTGAATAATTTTAACTCCCCTTACTGTTGATCTCCCCTGAATACTTACATCCCCTGAATGTTGCCCTACCTTTTCTGCTGATCTCCCCTGAATACTTACCTCCCTTTATTGTTTACCTCCCTTTATTGCTTACCTCCCTTTATTGTTTACCTCCCTTTATTGTTTACCTCCCCTGAATAATTTTAACACCCTTACTGTTGATCTCTCCTGAATACTTACCTCCCTTTAATGTTTACCTCTCCCTGAATGTTTACCTCCCCTGAATGTTTACCTCCCCTGAATGTTTACCTCCCCTGAATGTTTGCCTCCCCTGAATGTTTACCTCCCCTGTCTAACCAGACTAGCTGAACCCACCTGAAGGTCCTGATGACCTCCTACAACACAAAGGTTCCCCGCAGTCAGCATTGCTGCCCACCTGGTACTCACTGTCATAGTGGATGTCAGTCAGGTGCAGGACACGCAGGGTGGGGGCGCCTGCCTGTGGGGGGGGGGGGAGGGAAGGACAAGCAGGTCACATACAGGTCACACATATGAAAGCAGCGTGTAAGAATCAACTAGCCACATACAACAAAATAAATCATATTCTAAATCTGGAGGGGTTGGAGGTGTTATTTGTTTCTTTAGTTTTTGTTTATAAAACAAAAATGATTAATTTTTTATTTATGGTTAATAAAATTAAACTAGTAACCAAGTAAATTAGTTTAAAACAGTAAATTTGATCATTTTTACTCTGCCCAATCATAAGCATTGAAACCAGATCTAGTAAGATTTTACAATGAGTCCTGTGAATAGTTTATGTACGGGGGAAAAAGAATCCCAATTTAAAACAAATCTAACTACAATGAATGTTGATTTTACAAAGTTACATTTTCTGACCTTGGGTGGAGTCGGTGGAGCATACGGAGGCTGTGGTTTGTTGGGAAACGTCACATTCCAATCAGAGTGGGGGTTGTAGGGGGAGCCACAGTGTGGATGAAAGACAAGGGCACACAACTCATCAGGACTCAGAGCCAGGCCGTTAAAGACTGTAAGGACCTCAGCCTGAAATTAGCACTGTGAACTTTAACCCCTGTCAAAACATCCATATCTAAATTTAAAACATCAATTTTTACTTCAGCCTAAAAGTATATTAATTAACTATGGTGATTAAAATTCAAACCGAACAGAATGGAAAAATCAAGTGGAACCACATTTATCAGATGCATTTAGTTTCATTTAATTAATGGCATATCATGTATATATTATAGATTAGGTATTTTTTTTTTTTTAATATCTTTAATATCTTTATTTTCAAATATTTGAAAATTAGGTCTTTTTAATATAAATTCAACATAGTTTTCAACAATTTTCAAGCAGATTATATGGTCTTTATATTAGTTAAAAAATATAAATTATTTTTTTAAATAAGTGGTTTTCAAATACAAGAATAACTAATACTTTCTAAAATTTAAAATATGATATAACATATTTATAACAGTAATAATATCCAACAGAATCCTTAGTCCTTTATCAATGACAAAAAATATTGTAGGAAATGTTACACCAGGAGCTGAATCACTTTAAAATCCCCAACTACAAGAGAATGATTCCCCAGTGGGTCATCTCCCCTGTACTGGGTGGCGTCCCCTGTGGAAATCTCTTCTAGAGATGTAGTTATATTCTAATGAAATCTGAGCTGACCATCCAATGGAGATAGCTGCAGTTTTACACAAAGATGGGGTTTTGTGTACAACAACCTTTCAAAATACTTCACACAAGCATGGTGTTTTGAGTTTCACAGACTTCTAAAATATTGAACACAATCAATGTATCTTTGGCACAACAGTTTTTGTAATCTATTTCAAACAAACATGTTTTCAGGACCAAGCAATTAAAAAACAAAATTCACACATTAAAAAAAAAACACATTATATTATGTGTATCACTGAATTACAATCATAAAAAATACTTCAGTAAACATTTTTTTTGTCTAGGTGTGGGCTGATAAAAAAAAAATTGCATTTTTCCAAATAAATTTTTGAAATAAAAGAAAAATCATCTCAATTATTCAGTTGATTGAGAACTTGATCATACTGTTGCTGGTCATCTCCCTTTTTCTATCAAATGAGCCGACCCGCGGCGTATCATACGCCGCTATTTAGTTGTTTTATTTTCTATTTTTCAGTAATTCATAATTTGTGAATTCGACAGTACCAATGATGCCACTGAAAATATTTGCTTTAAAACACTAAACCCCCCCCCCCCTTTCCCCCAACCCCTACCCCTAAAACCTCGCTCGCAATCAGCACTGGATACTTGAAAAGTACAGCATATGTCAATTAACTTTGCCAATGAGCTAATTTGTTCATCATTTAAAGCAACTCCTGCGTTTTCAGTTAGTGCATTTACTGAACCTGATTTGAGTTTTTCACTGATCTGAAATTTGAAGTCATTTATTGCGTGATAATTGACTCTTCATTTGTTGTTTGTAACACATCATTGTACTTTACGCACAGTTCTTTGATATCTTTGACGCCAAACTCAAAAGCGCAATTTCTAAAACCAGTAGGATCAAAAGCTGAAGAAAACTGCAGTTCATCTCCTGGAAACCTTACATTTAAATGATCGCAGACCGATCGTATAAACTGTGTGATTTGTCTTGTGTCGATTCCTACGTTTTCATTCAAAATTTTCTTGGCTTTATCATTCCAATAAACATCTTCACTCAGGTATTGTGCTTCTAATTTGCGTATTTTAGAAATGTAAAATTGATGTGCTTCAATAGATGATAAATTATTTCGCTGCAACAACATTGATAGATTAGCTAATTCAGTTAATACATCATTAACGGTATAAAGCGCAATTTGATACAGAGGATCTTTTAATGATTTCAAAACATAACAACAAACATGATCATTGTAGTCTTGGACTTGTTCTTCACAGTATGCAGCTAAAGCATCAATATTTCTAACAAAAGCACTGACAGCAAAGTGACGTGACAACCAACGAACTTCATAAACTGGTCGAAAAGAAATTACATCCATATCATGCACCTTGGCCAATTCTTCAAGTGCGCCCTTTTTAACTGAAGATCGAACTCAGTGCTGTTCAACAAGATGGGGGACCTTAGCCTTCAGTAAAGCAGCTAATCCCTTCCTACGGCCTAACATAACCGATGCCCCGTCTGATGTTATCATTACCATGCAGTTTCATTTCAAGTTGATGTTCAGTGTAGTACTGTTATGGCTGCCTCCAGAGCTGAGGTATCACATGCGGTAAGCTGAATTATTCCACCAAATACGGCTTTGTAGAATAAAGAATTGACTGAACGAAATTTAAAATAAAGGATTAGCATTTTATGTACAGTTATGTTAGTACTTTCATCAACTATAAGCGTGTGGAACGATGCTACTCGAAGTTCTGTTAGTCTGTTCTTTACAACCACCTCGTTGATTGGTTCAACAAACTCAAAGGCGTGTATTCTTACTTCGCCAACTGTCTGATATAGAAACATACTTCCCCATGTGGTTATGAATCAGTTGTACCGACGGCATCGAGGCGTGTATCCTAATGGCGATAAGAACCTTATCCATTAGGATTCGAACTTGATCCTTGTTTGACCGCTGGCACTCATTTTGTTCAACTCGTTCTTCTCGCTCAGTGTTAGTTTCAAGTACTAGCAGCACAGAACTTACACTTCAGATGCTTCCTATTTCAACTGAAACATTCTTAGAATCTGGCGTATCTGTTGTCACTTTAACTTTGAGCCATTCCAGTTTAAACGAATCTCTCACTTTTTTTTTTTGCTGCATTGTTTTACCGCTTGTTACACACATTTTTCTTTTCAATATGTTCAAATAGCGCAGAGTAGTAAACTTTTATTCCTTATTTACCAAACCAGTCTGTGAACACTGAAACAGTTCGATCCAGGTGCACGTAATAATCCCAAGAATTGGATATATAGTATATGAATCCTTAAACCAAACAGCAAAAACACATCCACCTTTAGTAAAGTAGATTTTGCATCTGACTTGGGTAAACCGTCATAGTATCAAGGTGATGGGTGGGGGTTGGGAGATGGGGAGGGGCAGTGGCTATAGAAAATAAAACCTTGCATGGTCAGCTAGTAGCCACAATCCCTTTCAGGTGTTAGGTCAATTTTGGGGTAAACCATTAAATCAAGCAGAGGGAGTGTCACGCAGACATCACATCGGTACCCGCCCCGCTCAGTTGAGAGTTGCCATTAACTAGATCTGTGGTATGACAACCGAGGTCACCCCCTCCACCCAGTCAATGTTTATACCCCAAAACACAAAGACTGTTCGTTTAACAAAACAGGTACTAAAAATGTCGCTTAATTCAAGCCTCTGGCCACAATTTTTTTCTAGTGAATTTGGCTTGCCCGACGTTCTGATAATCTGTGCGCGGCATCAGAAAATGACTGCGCGGCATATTTGTAAGTGCTGCGCGGCCGCGCAGCCGCGCAGCTTAGAGGGAACACTGCCCACATAGAGACCTCTAACCTCCAATCATTAGAGATGTCCCCTCCCATTAGAGTGGCACTGGGATCAATACCACCCTGGTAAATCATGTGGAATTACACGTCTTAAGACCCCCTAAGCCCACCCTGTAATGGTTATCATTTCTTTTAATAACCAGGGGCCAGAACTATTTTATTGATGGTCAGACTTAACCCATGCCAAGCAGACATAACCCAAATGTATACAAAAAAGGGTAGGATAAAAAAATATAAATAAACAGAACAATATTTTCATAACAGACCAGAGTTGAATGTTTAAATTACACACTAGATTGCATTGCAGTCAAGAGAGGGGGTATAGGCCTACTTGATTCTTGCAGGGGAGGTCAACAGGGTCATGTGATCACCACTTGACCTATAGTGTGGGGGCAGGTGATTTCAATTACAGTCCAACCACACAAGCATAGGGAGTTCGCTATATTATGTTATCATCATCTTTTCCCATTTGTGCCCGAGACATATGGTATAGATGAAGTAGAGTACATCTGTTTCAATGACTTCTGCATACTAGGGGATAATGTGGTCAGCACTATGCCCATCTGCCTTTTTTTTTCCTAACATGAGTCAGGGATGTCTTAAAATCACAGGTCCAAACCAAGATCCAAACTCAAAGCCTTTGGGCTAGTAGCCAAAAGCTCTACTACTCAACCACAATGTCCCCACAAATTATTTATACCTATATCATTTATTACAAAACTGGTGATGTAAAATAATTAGATTTATATTATTTTTAACTAATAAATATTATTTCAATAGCTTAAACCCTACATTTAATGCAACCATTTGCAATGAAAACTCCACATTTTTGCCACAAAATCCACATTTACATAACAAATATTGAGTCAACTTACGGCAAATTCCTCGACCAATCCATGACACACCCTCGGGGTTTCAAATCCCCATTTTGAACAAACTGTGTACACAGTAGACTTTATGAACTCTGTGGTCACATTTGTACTGGCCAAGTACTGGACAACGGCCACAACTATTTTACATTCATCACAGCTACGCTTTCTGAGATCAAATGTCGGCAGTAAATTATTTACGACTTCCTTGCTCAACCACTGGGTAAATCTTTTTGTGAGGGAGTAAAAATTCAAATCTTGATCCAGAGGTGTTGTAAAACTGGTCAATAAACTGCACAGTTCTTGGATATTTTTATTCAGATTATGCGGATGATTTGAATAATTTGGAGAACATAATGTTAGGAGTTGCTTTAAATGTGAATGAGTGCTGGACTCTGTATGTGCTTGAGTTGGCCTGTCCTTAACTTCAGACACAAAATGAAGACTTGCAGGTCTATCTGCTAAATCTTGCGCTGGTGCAGACACGGATAAATGGATGAATCCATGAAACCAAATGGTTACTACAGCCAAATGTATCAACATTTTTAGCAATACTGAACACTAACTGCCAGCATAATTTGTTTGCAATAAAATAAATCCATCCATTACATTTTACAAAGGTAAATCTTTCTTTAGTCTGAAATTAAGGAAGAAAAATAGAAATTTAATCAAAGTTTTGAAAATATGATCCAATTACATAGACAACACCACTTACAACATAGTTATCAAATCATATTAAAACAAAGACTAAAATAGCAGATAAACTTTTTAAAATACATCTATTATAATAACACACTTGTCAGTAAATTTGTAGTCTACTGAAATAAAAAGAAGCCTGAATTCCAGTTGAACTATGTAACAGTAACCATTAACTAAAGAATGTCATCAACTAGTGGTTCAACTAGCAATCTCGTTATCTCTTGTTTACTTTTTGATTCAACGACATTCCACAATTACATCAAACAGGATGTAAAGAACAGTTATCTAATAATATTTAAATTAAGAAAACTTAATCTATTTACTTTAGAATTTTGACATTAATTCTGATTTTATAATCTTGCTCTAGACTCTGGTCTAATTAACACCATATTTTTTAAATAAAAAATTTCAGAAAAAATAGTGAATTGTAATTTTCAATGGAAATATATAATTATAAGACACTGCAAGCGAGCCAAATTGTTATTTAAAATAGGGGCTATTTATTATTTTATTAACAGGCACTGGTGAGAGTGTAGTGGAGATATTATTATTAATATTATATAGGCCTATTAGGCTAATATTAATTTATTAATTAATAGGCGTCAGCCTAATTTACACAAATTTAACATAGAATTGAGTCACATTGACATACACATAGATTACAATTGATTAGATCTAGACTAGATCTAGAGACTACTCGTTAATACTTGAGAGAGAGAGTGAGATTATAAAATTTAGATGTTCAGAATCTAGGCTATAAATAAAATATCGGTACTCTATCATTTTAGGTGCGTAAAATCTGCCTAGGCTAGTAATGGGGTTGTCCATAAATGACGTCACACTCGTAGGGGGGAGGGGTCCGTAATTTTGTGAAGATGTGTGATGAGGGGGAGGGGGGGGGGGGGGGTTTCAGATGGTGCGACGTCACACTTTTGCATTATAAAAAACCAATGTTAGAAAATGAATTTTAGATGTTATTTCGCGTTTTAGAAAACTGTTTTAATAAATTGTAATAGGAATTGATTAAAATTCTCGATTTTGACAGAGTTTAGACAAGATTTTAGAAAAATATCGATGTTTAAAAAAAATTCAACTGCTGAGGTGTGACATCATTTAAGGAGGGGGGGGGGGGGTCTGGCTTTTTGTGACGACGTGTGACGGAGGGGAGGGGGGGGGAGGAAAAAATCGTTAAAAAAAGCGTGCTGTTATTTATGGATGACCGATTTTTACATACAAAACGATAGATTTAATTACCATATGGCCATATGATATTATTAGGTAATCTATCGTTTTAGGTACGTAAAATCGCCCGCAACTAATAATGTGAAAAACAGGTGACTCCTACTCCTTGAATTTTAATAAATTAATAATTATTTCACATTTTGAGTAGGATTTGATTTGAAAAATACAAAAATGTTTCCTTGTTTCATTTTATGTACCTCTTTTTAAACAACTGAATTAAAACTTGACACTCATACATCACAATATAATATATATATAGATAGATCTACTCCTATTAAAGCCTTGACAATGACGTAACTTTTTCGTACATTACTAGCCGCGGGCGATTTTACGTACCTAAAACTACGATAGCCTAGCTATTATTATTACTATTAGAGTATTAGTATTCAGTATTCAGTGTCACTCACATATTGATTATTAGATCTAAATTATTCTAAATGTAATAATTGTTAATTGAATCAACTGATAACAAAGGAAGAGAATAATACTAGTTTTATAACTTAGATTACTTAGAATCTATGTATGTAGATCAAGATTCTAGACTAGATAAAAAATTAGCTAATATTTGCGTACTTTATTTATTTACAGCAGCAACCAAAAATATCAACATTTTACTTCCTGTTTTATTCCGGTACCTTTTTTAAGCAAAAAAAAAATAAAACAATGTCCATTTTCAGATAACGGAATAATATAAAAATAGATATAGAGTCCTTTCATATGACGTCACGTCCGTTCGTGATACCTACGCCCGCCGCCACAGTGGTGTACATCAGACGTAAACACAATCAGCTGTTCGCCAGCGCTGGACGTGTTCACCAGCGCTGTACGTGTTCACTGTATGTAAAGAACCGCACCCGCGGAAAAGGAAAAATACGTTAAAAAACTTGAACTCTTAGGAATTGAAGATCCTTATACTGTTATTGACAGTTTCGTATAAATAAATATGTGGACAAAATTTCTAAATAAAAATACTGTTAGTAATACTGTTTGCGTTTAGAGTTAAAGTAGCTGAATCTGATCAAATGCAGTTCTCGATACTTTGTTTCAGGTAAGGACAGTAAAATAATAAACTTCATTTTAATTATAAAAGATAACTATTAATAAAACAAATATGCTCGACCTTCACAAATACTAATAGTAAAAGACAAAGTCAAAGGTAATAATAAGAATAATAAGATCTAATAGTAGGCCTAATACCTGGCTCCGCTGGGTAGACATAGAATCTAGAATCTACTTCTTTACTTAAATTTAATTACTTTAGATCTACATTCGATTCAAAATACACCCATAATAAATCAAAAGTAGTCATAATAGGCCTAATAAAGCATTTAATTGTCTCTAAGATCTAAAATCGCGCTCTATTATCTAATCATTTTTTTAGCAAACGAAATTTTCTGAAATTGAAATGGATTGTATGACTAGACTTAGATCTAGAATCTGCTACTTAAATTAAATTGTAAAAACTTTATACAAGCATGTAGTTGATATTATTGTAGTAGAAGGCTTTAATAAATTACTAAGGCCTACCTACTTTGTTGTCTTTTTACAGCAATATGTAATCTGATACTGGACTGAGTTTAATTAAATTCAAATTCATATCTAGTAATTGGTCTACTAAGTTTTTGTAGCCTAGTAGTACAATCTAGATCATACCAGCCAACAACAAATAACCACATTATTATTGTTTGGTTAATGATTAGGCTAATTTTTTTTTAAAAATCCACTGTTTATAAAAGAAACAAATCAAGCTAGAAACATTATAAGTGAGATGGTTTAGAATAATAACAATGGACCCAGTCTACAATTGATACAATTGCAGGTCTACATAGGGCCTACAGTCTAGTAGTTTACAGTAGGCACCTAGTGTGTAGCTAGTATACTAGTGTGTAGCTGTCCAGAGTTAAGATTCTTAATGCCTTAATGCTTTCCCCTGATAAGCCATGTGTGCTATAAATGACATAACATGACACCGAGGTGAGAAGTGTTGAGGGGAGAGCATTGGGACTTTCCCCTTTGTTCTCCCTGCTGGGCCCTGAGGGTCAAAATTATATAAGAAATACTATCTCTGTGGGGCTGGGTATCACGAAGGTGAGACATTTTCAGGGGAGGGCAGGGCAGACTCTTCTTATGTTTTATTGTGGGCTAGATACAGGTGGGGGCAGCCATCATGAGGGTTGAACGTCAGTATTAATGTGTCTGATTACTTCCCTGCTGGATTATAAGGGTCTTAAATTGTATAACATGCTACCCAGATTGGTTATTACCCATGGATTATATTAGCCGTTGTAGTGTGGGTTTTGTAGGAGTTAAGTGGTCTCACGTTTGCTACAGTAGATAAACTATAATATATTACTGCATTTGATCAGCTTCGTCTACTTAAACTCTAAACGCAAACGGTATTACTAACAGTATTTTTATTTAGAAATTTCGGTCACATATTTATATTATCCACGAAACTGTCAATAACTGTATAAGGATCTTCAATTCCTAAGAGTTCAAGTTTTTTAACATATTTTTCCTTTTCCGCGGGCGCGATTCTTTACATACGGTGAACACGTACAGCGCTGGTGAACACGTCCAGCGCTGGCGAACAGCTGATTGTGTTTACGTCTGATGTACACCACTGTGGCGGCGGGCGTAGGTATCACGTGATTTAGGTCACGTGTTTGCAAGGACTCTATAGAATATAGATCTAGATTATAGATAGACTCAAGGTCTTTCAATCACCATACTCCACACTCGAAGGGGGGGGGGGGGGGGGGGTCCGTAATTTTGTGACTTTGTGTGATGGGGAGGGGGGGGGTGCTCAGATGATGTGACGACACACTTTTGCACTATAAAAATCAATGTCAGAAAACGAGTTTTAGACGCTATTTCTCGTCTTAGAAAACTATTTTAATTAATTGTAATAGGAATTGATAAAAATACTCTACGTTGACAAGATTTTGGAAAAATATAGATGTTTTAAGAAAAATTCAACTGCAGTTTTTTTTTGGGGGGGGGGGGGGGGTTGTAGGCTGAGGTGTGACGTCATTTTAGGGGGGGGGGGGTTAGAGGTTTGGCTTTTTGTGACGAAATGTCAACACACCTCCTTCAAATGTCACCACCCCTCCTACAAATGTCACCACCCCTCCTTCAAATGTCACCACTCCTCCTAGAAATGTCATCACCCTCCTACAAATGTCAACACCCCTCCTACAAATGTCACCATCCCTCCTACGAATATCACCACCCTCTCCTTACTCACCTCGTCTGAACTCTCAACACCAACCCTCTTTCAAATGTCACCACCCTCTTTCAAATGTCACCACCCCTCTTACAAATGTCACTAACCCTCTTTCAAATGTCACCACCCCTCTTTCAAATGTCACCACCCATCTTTCAAATGTCACCACCCCTTCTTCAAATGTCACCACCCCTCCTTCAAATATCATTACTACTCCTACAAATGTCAACACCCTTCCTACAAATGTCAACACCCCTCTTTCAAATGTCACCACTCCTTCTAGAAATGTCATCACCCTCCTAGAAATGTCACCACCCCTCCTTCAAATGTCACCACCCTCCTACAAATGTCAACATCCCTCCTACAAATGTCACCACCCTCCTACAAATGTCAACACCCTTCCTACAAATGTCAACACCCCTCTTTCAAATGTCACCACTCCTTCTAGAAATGTCAACACCCCTCCTTCAAATGTCACCACCCCTCCTACAAATGTCACAATTCTTTCTACAAATGTCACCACCCCTCCTACAAATGTCACCACCACTTCTACAAATGTCACCACCACTCCTACAAATGTCAACACCCCTACTACAAATATCACCATCCCTCCTACAAATGTCACCACCTCTCCTTGAAATGTCAACACCCCTCCTACAAATGTCACCACCACTTCTACAAATGTCACCACCACTCCTACAAATGTCAACACCCCTACTACAAATATCACCATCCCTCCTACAAATGTCACCACCTCTCCTTGAAATGTCAACACCCCTCCTACAAATGTCGCCACCCCTCCTACAAATGTCAACACACCTCCTAGAAATGACACCACTCATGCTATGAATGACACCACTCCTGCTATGAATGTCACCACTTCTCTTACACATGTCACCTCCCCTCCTACAAATGCCAACACCCTCCTACAAATGTGAACACCCTTCCTACAAATGTCAACACCCCTCCTATAAATGTCACCACCTCTCCTACAAATGTCAACACCCCTCCTACAAATGTCACCATCCCTCCTACGAATGTCACCACCCTCTCATTACTCACCTCGTCTGAACTCTCAACACCACCCCTCATTCAAATGTCACCACCCCTCTTTCAAATGTCACCACCCCTCCTTAAAATGTCAATACCCCTCCTACAAATGTCACCACCCCTCCTTAAAATGTCAATACCCCTCCTACAAATGTCACCACCCCCTCCTACAAATGTCACCACCCCTCCTACAAATGTCACCACCCCTCCTTACTCACCTCCTCTGAACTCTCAACACCAACCCTCTCTACGACCTCTCCTCACCTCTTCGCTCCCATCAGTGGCGGAACTAGAAAAAATGGGCCACCCCGCAAATATTTTTTTTGGGCCCCCCATATATGTATATACCGATATATATATATATATATATATATATATATATATATATATATATATATATATATATATATATACATATATATATATACATATATATATATATATTATATATATATATATATATTATATATATATGTATATATATATATATATATATATATATATATATATATATATATATATATATATATATATATATATATATATATATATATATATATATATATATATATATATATACAATACGAACATAGGATACTACTTTCTGGCCAGATCGGGTTTTGAAAAGAAAAATTCAATTAAATCTAATCACAACAACATGTCATGTGTATGAGTGCATTGGTCTGTTTTGAAAATCTCTGTTTTCATTTATGTTTAATACTCCTAATCATTAAGTCGGTCGAAAGTATATCAATCACGAAGCTTTATATAAGTAATGGTGTCTCGTGTTATGTTTATTTTTATGTTTTTTTGTATTTATATTATTTATTTTAACTACGTTTCATTTTTATACTATACCATTCTTTAGTACCTATTTTTTAAAATAATAATTAAGACCAGTAATTGCTGTTTAATTTGATTATTACAAATCTATTAAAAAGAGCTTTTGAGCAACTCTATTTGACTATTTGAAAAAGGGAAATAATTTATGGAAGTGGTTTGAGCGTTTGCCTATCTTTCACACAACAGCTAATGTGTATATATTTTTAAAATTATTTTTTTTTACGCAACAGCATGTCTTAGCTACTATATAACATCACTACTGTATAAAAATTAGATCTGTTATCTGTTTGTTATTTACAAAACCACTATCAAGGTGCCAGTGACGAAACTAATATATATATATATATATATATATATATATATATATATAGGCCCTATATACATATATATATACATATATATATATATATATATATATATATATATATATATATATATATATATATATATATATATATATATACAACAAGCTATCATTCGTGTATTTATTTGAGACGTTTGCCTTGTCTTCTA